CAGTAATTACTTCTGCCAGCTCCCTCAGTACTCATGGGTGCATCCCATCAGGATCCATGGACTTGTGGATATCCAGTTCACTTAACTGATCTCTAACTTGATCCTCTTCATCCAAGGGAAAATCTTCTTTCCTCCAGACTTTTTCTGTTACCTGCTAAGTCTGGGACTCCTGAGGGCTGGCCCGAGCAGTGAAGACTGAAGCAAAGAAAGCATTCAGTGACTCCACCTTCTCTGCATGATCTGTCACCATGGCACCTGTCCCGTTCAACAACAGGCCCACATTTTCCCTAGTTTTCCTTTTGCCTCCAATGTACTTGAAGAAACCCTTCCTGTTGACCTTGACATCCCGTGCCAGATTTAATTCCAAGGAGGCCTTGCCTCTCCTCGTTTCATCCCTGCATACTCTGACGGTATTCTTGTAATCTTCCCAAGAGGTCAGGCCCTTCTTCCACGTGGTGTAAACTCCCTCCTTCCACCTGTGTTTTTCAAAAGGTCCCTGCTCAGCCATGCAGGTCTCCTGCTTCCTTTGCCTGATTTCTTGCTCTTAGGGATGCACCAATCGTGAGCTTGGAGGAAGTGATACTTAAATAGCAGCCAGCTCCCTTGAGCCCCCCTACCCTCAAGAGCCCTCACCCATGGGATTTCTCCAAGCAGTTTCTTGAAGAGATCAAAGTTAGCCCTCCTGAAGTCCAAGGCTGCAATCCTACTTGTAGTTTTACGCATACTACACTTAATCCTGAACTCTATCTTCTCATGATCACTACAGCCAAGGCTGCCGCCAACTTTAACGTCCTCCACCAGTCTCTCTTTGTTTGTCAGTACTAGGTCCAGTAATACACCTCTCCTTGTTTTGTTTTGGATACTTTAACACTCACTATGTCCTCTTACCTTGACTGGCATTCTGCTCCTGTATAATACCTATATTTATAAACATTATGTAAATGTAGACTATACCATTGTTTTATAGATGATTTTTCTAAACCATCAAATTAAGCTTTACATCATGAAGAAACACAATGAATAAGTAACTCTAACTTCTCATGTTTCTTAAGTTTTCCTCTTGACCTCTTTTTCACTGAGGTATTTCCAACAACTCTTCATGTGTCTTTATTCATGAGAGCTACTTACGGATACAACTTGGATCAGGCACCCAGCCATTCTTGGTGCATTTAGATGTGCTTTCACCAGTCAATGCTTTAAAAGTATATCCAGGATTACACTGTACTCTGATTGTATCACCTTCTATGTAGCTGTCTTCTTGAGGTCTGAAGTTCCCATTGGGAATCCTTGGAGGAGAGCATACAATTTCTAAACAAAAAGAAAAAAAACTGGATGTTAATTTGAAGCATATGTTTAAACTTATTGCATAAGTTCTTATTTTCAGTGTATTGACTGTAACTGCATAAAATTGTTAAAAAGATGTTTCTTAGGGCAAAGACAAGGTTATGTTTCCCTCCTGCTCTTAGAAATGTATGATTCTGTAAGAGGTGAGTGACAGCTGTTTATGATGTCATGCTAATTAGAAGATTAAAACTTAATTGCAAAGAGAATAGTGGGAGTAAGAACTGGAGGTGATCAAACTGAATTTGACTAATCTTTTCCAGTAGGTCATTCCGCAGCTGGAGCGCAAAATGACCTATGCTGGGCTCACCTGCAGCTCTCCTGGGCTGGTTTATAGACACTGGCCTAAAGGAGGGCAGGTTCACTGGCAGGTCCTAAATGGAGCAATAACTATACTTAACTAGGAACTGATTATTCAGTCAGGGTCTTATACTGACACCGGAAGTATTTCAACAACTGAGAAAACACAAGAATGCTGTTCTAAAAAGCTTATGATATCTTTATGCTCAGAGAAGCCAGAAAAACATACTATTTATAAACTGGAGCCTGTCTTTTGGTTTTTCTCATATTCTACTTCCAATTTAGAAAATATCACCAGCGCACTCAGGGCTGGGAGATGATGACTATAAGGTAACTACAGGTTGGTCTTGCTGTGGAGTGAAGGTGGGCGAATTAG